AGGCACAAACACGATTTTATCTCACTCTTGGAGTCGATATAAGTTGTTGTTTGGAGTGTTTCCAAAGGATCAGGGTAAGGTCAAGAATTGACCACACATGCTCCATAAGATTATTATCTAGCAACTGGACTGGCCATGAGATAGTAACAATGACCAGCTGTTCAAGTCATCCTTTTATGAGTCAGGCTGAATGATTTGGAGCCCCATTTTGCATGATAAGCTAATCATTGTTGTATAGAGACTGAAGTCCAAGCAAAACTAATCGTCAATCGTGAAAGCGCTTCAGATATCCCTTTGTTGGGATCGTTTTATACTCGAACTTTGCTTTTTCTTCAACTTTATTAAAGTTGTTCTTATTTCTATCAGATATTGGCTCATACCCTTTAAACATAACAAATTTCTGTTTATTACTATAATCAATAACACATAAGAAATTATGTTTTGTTTACTTATTCCTTTGCCTTTCTCTCTTGGTTTATTCCTTCGCTCTGAAATCTGTTAAAATATTTTCTGTTAAACTCCTGGCTTTTATATCCCTTTCTCTAAAACTCAATCTGAATAAGTCTCTTTCTTTTTGGCTTTGTACACCTGTTTTGATTATAACATTCTTAATCATAGGTGTTATGTTGTCTCCATACCGTTGAAGAAGAAAGGCGGCCGTTTTCTCTAATAAGTTTCTAACGAATTAGATTACTCTAATCTCTTAATCCCTTAGGGACTGACCAAAAGCTGACCACTTTCTCACCTTTTTCAACCTCAACCGATTTTCCTTACACTTAACTTCGTAACAAATCTCCTCTTTTTTTACTGAATGCGTTCAACAACGTTGATTGTATTCAATCTTAGCTGTGTTTCTGTTTAATCTCGATGTTATTCCAGGATCCAAAATTCCGGAATATCTCCATAATCTTCATTAAGTTGTTTCACCACTCACAGTCTTTTGACTCATTGATAATTTCAGTCTTTACATATATCATATTACAGTTCACTGTCTTTGTCTAGATAATTTACTCTTACACAGTTTTATAGATATAGGTATATGTATAATCACCGTAAAAGTTAAAAAGTTCACAATTTTTATTTACGAACATTACTACAACATCAAAAAATATTCAGTCTTTTGTATAAATATG